CCCCCCCCCCCCCCCGGCTTGGATTTATTGAGCTGACATTGCCACAGTGCCATTGGTTTTGATTTGACATCAGTCCTTGGGTTTTTTGCTGCTTTTTTCTACTATTAAAAACAATGGAGGTTGGCTGCATCTTCTTTGGAAGCCCATAGAATTGGACCCCCCCAATCCAATCTTTTTGAAACTTTGGGGGTCTTTTGAAGAGTGACACCAGAAGCTACGCTGAAGTTTTGGTGCCTCTACCTCAAAAATCAGCCCCCCCCCCCCCGACCCCTGGATAGGGTATAATGTAACTGCGGGAAAAATCAGGATTTCAACAAACAAACAAACAAAAACCACCTGAATCCAAACACTATAGCAGTATTGAATCCCCCCCCCAGGAATCCCAATTTTTTGGGGGGTCCAATATATCCAAATCCAAAATTTTTGTGTGCACACCCCTAAATGCAGGTGGAAAAGTAACACCAGCATCTTGAAGACAATGTTTACAACTTTTTTTTTTGCTCTAAATGAAGTTCCAAAAGCAATAGAAAGGAAGTTTGTTAATCCTGTTTTTATTTTGATTAATTGATTTTGCTCAGTATTAAGCATATGCCCCACTACTATAAATTTCCAAACTATATCTTTCATAGAGGTGCCAATGCCATCTGTCCAAAACAAGGCATTCTCCAACAGAACCACAGGAACTATTTCTTACAAATATTCCTTACCTTTCAAACACATAAGTCATTAACAACCTGAAAGGTAAACAAGTGCTAATGCCACTTTATGGCCCTGTTCTAAGAAAGTGCTGGAGTTATTAAGAATAATTACCTAAGCCTTCAGACTCAAAGAGATAAGTCTCATCCACCCCAATACATCTACACCAGTTTAGAAAGTTGGCTGTGTTATCTCTAGCAAAAAAGGATCCAGAAGGTGCATCCTTCTTACAGGGGACTTTTCTCAATGGAAAATCCTAAAAAAACGAGTAAAATTTATAAGATTATTGGTTTTTAAAAAGGAAAACACATTTTATCCCAACATAAAATATTCATAGTTTTCATTAACAATTGTGAGGATGGGAAAGCATTCTAGAAGATTTCTCAAAGAAAGCAGCCACAACAAAAACCTGCAATATGGGCATATAGTAGTAATACTGGGAAAGGTTTTGACTGGCTGTATTGAGGACTGAGATGAGACAGGAATAAATAGACCATGCACCAAAGTTTGTGTAGACTAGGCTTTAGTTGTCAGAAACACTTTCTTCAGAGGGAAAAGGTGACCCACAACTGACTGACTGATTAGTTGTCAGTGGAGAAACAACACTTGGAAATACATTTTTAATACCTTAAAAATATCTCACTAGCAAAACATAGAACAAGAGGAGTGGCATATCAGATGAAAATCAGGACAATGCCTGAAGGCTGTACAGAATACTGCTCTAGTATCTAAAAGCAGTAGAAGGCTGTCAGCAGCCTAACATAAGATTCATTAGAATTTATAAACAACCATGATTTCCCATTCATATGCTGTTTTAGAACATTTGCTTTGGGCTACTAAATGAAGTACACAGAAAGAGGTTTTTTCCACATCTCCTCCTATGTTTATGTTCTCCCCTTCATAGGGGCATAACAACTGTTCCGTGTCACATTCCTTTTCAACCTTGTCCCATCCCAAATCTTTATGTAACTACACGCCATTTTCATCTCTCAACAATTCTGGTGGCACACACTGGGGCTACCAATAAAAAATACATGTATTTATTCAAAGAATTCAAAAATATATAAGGGCCCAATCACACCTCATGTAAAAATACCAGAATCTAATACACAAGGGCTAATGGACTTGACCTGATGCGTTTCGGCCTGCATAGGCCTTCTTCAGAGGTCAAACACAGTGAGGAACATATTGGCTTATATAATAGTACAGTACTATACAGATATAAAATATAAATACAAGAAGGACCAGAAGAAAATTTTTCCAAAATGAAAACACTAGGCACAGAATAAAAGTAAAAATGAGGCCTCCAAAGATGCAATCACATGCCAAGTAATGTTTCACTGGTAATAATTTTTGATTCAGAAAGTGCCTTCCTATGATTGTTTAGCCAAAGTGTCCTCAGCAGAATTGTCCTTGTAAATTGTCAATTCTACTGAGGACACTTTATTATATAAGCCAATATGTTCCTCACTGTGATTGACTTCTGAAGAAGGCCTATGCAGGCCGAAACGTGTCCGGTCCAGTCCATTAGCCCTTGTGTGTTAGATTCTGGTATTTTTACATGAGGTGTGATTGGGCCCTCATATATTTTTTAATTCTTTGCCCCCCCCCGCTTTCTGTCACACACTGGGGCTACATCATTTTCCTCTAATGACCTGTCTCCCAGCCCATCTGTTGTCCCTTTCACTCCTATGTTCCAAACCCCTTGCTTTTTTATCAACCACCCTGTACCTAGTGATGAGTGACATGTTTCAGCTCAGCAATAAATAAATAAATACCTAGAAAACTGCAGGCTTTCCCCACCAAAACCTAGTACTTCAAACGCCCACCGTGCCCATAATACAATCAAAGCTTCCCAAACTCTGTTGAGTACCTGAGGCCTTTTGCCTCCTCTCCTTCAAACAACATACCAGCTGAGCCAAAATGCACTTTACAAACTTCCCAGTGTTCATACCTCTGGCCAAACCCCTTGTACTCATCAGGAAAGATGGTACAAACCACCACTGTGTATCACGGGTATCTGGTGCTAGCTGCAATACCTATGCCTCGCTCCCAGATTCAGATCCTGTGAGCAGCTATGACCTACATGCTAGTAATGACACAGAACAACAACAGCCAAAAGCCTAACCACTTGTACCTAGTTGCAGAAAGCGCCTTCTGTAGTTCTATCTATCTACATAGGGAATTTAACTTTTATGTCCAAATCCTCTATGAAAAACAGTACTCACCCTTAAATCACTCGGGTCACAACAGTGTTTAACTGTGTTTTGGATTACTTCAATCAACATGCACAGCAATACACCATTATCAAGTTCTTCTAACAACCGTTCCGCTGTAAGCGATAAACCTGTAAAACAGCCAAATAGACAAAATCCTCAAAAAACCCCTGATATTTCAGATGTATGTAGACATAACCACAACCTGAATTTACTGGGGGAATAACCTAGAAACACACACACACTTTTGTTGTATTTTCAACCCATCCTCCAAACACTGCCACCAACCTAGTTGACACATAACTAGGAAGCAGTGTGAATGGCAATCCTTACATTACAATAAAAAGAATTAATGGTGGGGCTGGGAAGGAACTGTAAAGGAGCAAAAACTGAAGGATAAACCCTCACACATGTGACCTAAGAAATATGATGTCACATTCACCATTCTATTGCCTGTGACTAAAAAATGTGGAGATACAAAGCAATTATTTGAACTGCAACCTATTTCTCAAAATGGCTTTAGAGAATGTTCAAATCCAGAGGGTCTAAACAGTCAATGCTTTTAGAAACAGATACAGCCTTGTAAAAGCATTCTTAGTGCTCTTAGCAATACAATTGAGACACAGACTCCCAGAAAGAAATTAACTTGAATACACTCTTGGAACTGTTTCTGTATGCTGATGGCTACAGTCTTGACTGGACATTGGAAAAAATCATGTGTTGCTTGGGGCAGGTAAACTGGTTACCTCAGACTGATTTTGTAGTATTTGTACTGAACTCAATGAAACTTAATTCTACTTGCCAATATAAATCAGTATGTATCATAATACATATTCTACACCACCATCCAGCTTACAAATACACACACAAATGTTTGTGTCTTGAGGTGTATGTTTATACCACATATGCACATTCCGTAAGAAATGACAACTGTATTTCTTTTATAAAAGCTACCATTCTATTGCAGACAAGATTCTAAAGTTTTACAAAGATTTCTAGCTACCCCTAAGCATTCCTAAACATAGAGTTGGAAAGGACCTTGAAGGCCATCTATTCCAACCCTTAGTTCCATTCGGGAAAGCCAAAGCTTTAGCATCCCTGACAGATGGATGCCCCAATTCCTGCTTGAAAACCTTCAGAGAAGGAGAGCTCCCCCATCAGCCCCACCCCTAGGTAACTCACTATTGTTGAACTGCATTTACTACTCAGAAGCTTCTCCCAATCTTCGGCTGAAATCTATCTTCCCATAACTTAAGTCCATGAGATATTGTCTTGCCATCGGGAGCAGCTGAAAACAATTCTCTGCTTTTTTGGTACAGAAATACCAAAACACCTCAGAACACTGCAAGAAATTTTCAGGCCCTTTTCAGTTTTCACTATGTAGATATAGCTACTGTAAAGGAACACAGAGATGGTGCACTTATAATGGCAAACAAATTAGTTACATCTCTTGGAACGCCTGCAGCATCTGTAATCCTTTAAGTGTGGGCAAATTATACAATACCCACTTTGTGCCGTGGATTGCTGGGGAAGGCATGGCAGCTTGCAGTGCAGGATGGATATAACGATCTGACAGAAAGGGTAAGAAACAGAAACTATCCTGCAGTCTCCTAACTGGTCATCTATTTGGGCAAACAAGATCAGTAACAAATGCCTTCTTTTTTCTACAGTACTTTCTCATTCCAGCTTGGATTGTAGAACATCAAAGTGGCAATATCTAGCATGCCTGAAAACAGTGCCATTGGCCATCTATTGACTTTGTGGGGTACCAGTGCTCCAAATGGTCTATTGTATCTACCCCACCCTTGGTAGAAGTGAAGTTCAATGTTAGTTCAGTCAGAAATGGTAAAAGAGAATTTCTCATAGGGCTTTGCTTAAAGGTGGCATCAATTCACTGTGGAAAGTTCTAGCAACTCTTCCTCTTCACATCGATCTTTTTGGGCCACCCATTAATATTGCTCATGTTTGCATGAAAGGCAGCTAGGAGAAAACACCTTTTGAAACCTGAGGTCAGTGTGACAAAGAAAAGAAACATAGCTAGGGTGAAGAAATGAAAAGGCCTAAACTTAGTAGCTGGGATAACTTAATATGTTCTAGGGTACGAAGGGACTCCAGTGTGGACAGCCAATTGTTTCTGGGGCTCAGGAACTTTTTTGCTCTTAGGAAGGAAATAATAAATTATAATTAACTGTTTTGAGATATCATGCACCAAACAACCACTGAAAATTTCCTAAAAGAACACAGTGTAATAATCACTAGCTTCTGACATCTTGCAAGAAAACTGCACCTAGGGTTGGTAACTGCCTCTGAAGTGCCAGGCCAAACTTCATTGTATCTACAGTAATAAGAACTGGCCTCATCATGCTAATCTTTGGTTGTCAGTGATTAGGAGGATGGCTGTTCCAAATTTACAAACCATACAAATATGCATTCTAACTTTACCCAACAAGCTGGATAGCCAGATTGACAGGTCCTCCTGCATAGGAACCAGAGTTGCCTCATGCCGCACTGATATCCACTGGTCATAAAGCAGAACATCTGCTAAGCCTGGGCCGTGCCTTGGAGTCAGCGGACTTCGTGGACTTAAAGGGGGATCATCTCCAAACCACACCTAAAGGTGAGATCAACAATTAAACTTAACCGTTTGGCTACATTTTGGTATATTTAACAGGCTGCACATATACCGGTAAAAAACCCCTTGCTAATCACTATGAAGGTTTTTCAAAAATTATACAGAAGAGTATTAAGTCACCACACTGATAGTACCCAACATGTTGTCTAGATGAAATTATACTAAAAGCTGGAGAAGCAGTTTTTCTTTACAGGCTGCCACAACCAATGGAATCTGGGTCTCAGCACAGAAGCTGAGGAAAGCTTCATGCTCTGGAGAGTTCCAGTTTGACGTTTTCAGTTAAGAAGCAACAAGTTGGTGTAACATATGACATTTCCCTTCATTATTGCGACAGAATAAATCAAAAGACATTTTGTCAGGTTAATGTAGAGAAAGATATAATAATTTAGATAATAAGAGATTTCATTTTGTTTACCTGAACCATACTTTGCATGGCGATCTATCCTTACTAGGAATAGAGAAAAGACACATTTACATTAAAAATCACAAACTACTGGATTTGTGTCTAACATCATATAGCGAAGTAACATGTGAAAGTGTGAACACACCATGTGCAGTGTTATCAAAGCATTTAATTCATATAGTACAGGTCAGCCCACTGCAGCCCCCAAGGCCCATTTTGTAAAGCTGCTCAGCTCTTGTCAGGCTTATTAAATTCCTGGCTTTTATTCCAAATAAAAAGATTCTGACCAACATGATTCCAGAGATAAATTACAAAATGGCACAGCAAAAAAATTGCTAGAAAAGGTTGAAAGGAGAGCCAGTAAAAAAAAAGCCCCCCCCAAAAAAGCCCATGTACATGATTTTCAAGCCCACTATCAATATTTTTGAAGGCTGACTTAATTTCTTCTAAATTCTGAACAACATTTCAGAGCAAAAATGGGGTAGGACAAGTCTGAAATACATCCAATGTCTGGTAACTGCCACAGCCCACCCCCCATAGACAGAGGTTCTCTGTGATGACAACTAGGACCTCTGCATATTTATTTATATGAGTCATCATTTTTGTTACAGCTTTATAAAATGACAAGAAACTGTGAAGATTTTAGGATTTTAGAATTCAGTTCTGTGGTAGCAATAATTAGAAAGGACAGTCATGAAAATGTAAAAAACTGAAAGCTGAAAAATAAGACTGGCTCCTAAAGTTTTGGGGTGGCTTATAAAGTTGAAGAAAATTGGTCAAGGCATGCTACTCATATCATTACTACAAAATGGCTGCAAGAACATTGCATAGTGCACCCTTTGTCTACTACTGCTTCTGACTTCAAATTTCTCCATCTTCAGCATCATATATAATAAACTAATCTATGTCTTTAAAATACACAAATTCAAGGAATAAACTAAAATGTGGAAACAGCAAAGGATCCCCCCCGCCCAACGTATGTAAGCATCAAGAAAGCTAGGATGGTATACAGTTGTTGGAATGTCAGAATAGGACTAATCCCTACCAGTCAAAAAAACCCTCACTGGATAACCTTGGAATAGTCATTCTCTACCCTGACCCAGATAGGCCAGGCTAGCCCAATTTCATCAGAAGCTAAACAGGGTCATGGAACGCCTTGAAGGAAGGGTAGCTAAAAAATGTGACAGAAAGAAACCTTCAACTCTGTGATGCTCAATTTAAATTCTGAATAAGAAGACTCTGAACAGAGGAACAAACTTGAAAAGCTACTATTTTTAAGTATCTATTATTTACTAGTATGGAGAAGTTATGCTCTAATTTTATACACAGAGCATAGCAATGCACAGAGCATAGCAATGAAGTAAAACTGAATATAATACTGTTATTCAGATAAAAGCTTTCTGTTCTTATGCAGATAATATTCCATTAGCTTTAATAAGGCAAACAACTGTGATCCTATTGATTTCAATGGGATATACGCAAAACTAATTTAACCTGCATCAAATCCTTCTTCCTTGGTTGCCTTGAGGCCATTCTTACAGAATTCTAGTCACCAGGCAAGTGACAATTTAAAAGGAAAACATATACATCACCTTGGATCCAGTTAAGCATGAGCAGATGGCCTTAGCACGGCTCTACTTATGCAAGATCTTCTGCAATGCCCAGCGGTTTCCTTCCCTGTACCTTAGAGGGCCCAGAAATTCCTTGCACATCTTGTACAGGTAGAAAAAAAGCTTGGGATATACTAAGTTTAATTTATTGCAAGGGGGCAAGATAAGGCTCCCCCCCAAAAAAAACCCACAACACTTCTGCAAGTACCCTAGCACATGTAGGAAGTAAAGGAAGACACTTGGAGTTGGGAATAAAGTTTAGGGTTACAGTATAGCAATAAAATTATCTATGCACAGTACTTTGCCCTGTACTCTCACTATTAAAGGGTAAATCATAATTTATGACAGCACTTTTTGCCAACCAGACTGCAATATTTAGAACATGCACATATTTTCATTCCAGCTTTAGCTTCCTGCCAAGTTGCAATGTGTATGTGTGTTTGTGTCGAGGTTGAAGTGTGTGTATGTGTGTGTGTGTATGTGTGAAGTGCCATTAAGTTGCTTCCAATTTATGGTGACCCTTTTGATTAATGACCTCCAAAACGTCCTATCATGAACAACCTTGTCCAAATCTTGCAAACCATCACCTGTGACTTCCTTGATTGTGTTACTCCATCTCATATTGGGTCTTCCTCGTTCCGGCATACACACACACAAATCCTTTCTGATACCAGCATTGCCAATACTGGAAATTTAGGAACATATCAGAGATCTATTTGGCTTTCTAGCTTAGCTTTAGCCAATGTGATAGCACACATATATTCCGAATTAACCACATTTGTCAAAGTGCAAGTTCCATTACTTCTCTCTTGTTCTTTCACTCCCTCCACGCTACAGGGAAAGGTCAGGGTATAAACAGGGCATTACTAATGAGAGTATTATGCTTTCCCCTCGAGTTGGTCCCATGGAATAAATTTGCTTTTAGCATAAAAACTCCTTTGTCCTAACAACAAGCCTGAGTGAGAGGCTTCATTGACTACTTAAGAGGGAAAAATATGACCAGAGCAGCCAGCAAAGAAGCTGCTCTCATTAAAGTAAGGAGCCCCACACAATCAAACAAGGGCCTCAATATGCCAGCTTCCAGCATAAGAACAAAAGGCAGCCTAATTTACAGTGCATATGCAGCACTTGAACAAAACAAAATATTACAAAAATGTCCAGCATCTTCATTTTTCAGGAGTACATTTTTTTTAAAGGTTGGAAGGGAAATGTCAAGGCTAAGGGTTTTAATGTCAAGGCTATGAATCTTTTTTTTTAAAAAAACAAACGAGTTCACTTAATAGCATCACACATGCCATAAAAGCAGCCTCTTAAAATGCAATCAGCATTTATGAAATTGATCTCAAATTAGCAGCCATGAAATGTGTACTGTTCAGTACCCCAGAGTTACAGTCTAAGCCTTTATTAGAGGCTTCTCGCCTGGTACTATGCTATTTTACTTGAAGATCATTTGCCTAAAAGTAAGTATACATATAGTTCAGTTCCAGGATCACTTCTCTGGGAGTGAGCCCCACTGAATAGACCTGAGCAGTATTCTGAGTGGATCTGCTTAGGATTGCTCTCAGAGCGAAGATAGCCCTTTTATCCTCAGGGATACTTTATTTTGGAATAAATATGCATAAAAGCAGGCTGCATGGGTGGTTTCGGATGGTGATGGCCGCTTAGAATCTCAGCATGCCATGATTACATCTGAGGGAGGGGGCTGCTTCTTGACTCTTCAATGAATGTGGAGAATAAGGCAGCATAGTAAGCTTCAGTGTGTGGCCAGTCACTGCAGAAAACTTGCTGGGCACACAGCTGTAGACACATGGCAAAAGTGTAAAGCTGAAACCACCCTTGAGCAACAGTAGAAGAGGCTTATCAATCCCATCACCAATAAGGGAAATGCAGCTAGAACTGTGACCATTCATAGGCTACCTAAAGTTTAATGACTCGTGGTGCGGTGCGGACAGTCACTCAGAGCATCAAACCCATTTAGAACCTGCTGAAGAAAGTAAGCAGGCTATATCAGTCAATATAACCAGTTAGATTTTGGTGAGTAAGAGACACACTTAGGAAGTCTTTCCCTTCCTTTTTGTAGAAGAAGAGGGGGAAGCCTTCAGCAGTTATCCGCTTCCTCAACAACAGCACATAAGAGTGACCACAACTCAACAAACCAAAGGACTGAGCTGACAGAGGCCTGAGGGAAGGAAGTGTGCAGCCTGAGTCACCCAGAGAGCAAGCAGTTCTCAAGAGCCTAGCTGACTCACACACATGGTCTACTTCCACCCTCATAGTTGGCATCCCTTTTTCCCGGTCTGCACACAATTCATGACAGATTCTAGGACAGGAATTCAAGGCTGACAGAAAAGCTAATACGGAGGTTGCACACGGCTTAATGCATTGCCTCAAATGGCCTTTTAATATATAAAACGCCAAGAACACAATCCTTTTATTCGGATCAACCCAATGACACACAGAAGCTTTTGAGTTCTTTATCAAGCCAGATGTTACCAAAAAATTAAAAAAGGGGGAAAGTAGGTTTTTCAGGCCTTGATTTTAAAACCTTTTCATGTACATGGTTCCGATGTCAAAGTGATGTAGGCCAGGGGCCATGAGACCAAGAGGTAATAAAACCATTAAACTCCATAGCAACAGTTCCCCCCCCATGTGATCCCCTTTTGACCAAGTTTGAGTCCCGTGGCACCTTTAAGACCAACGTAGTTTTATTCAAGGTATAAGCTTTCATGTCACATTTGGCCTCATGAAGAATTTTGGGGAACTTGAACACTTGCACACTAGTATGTGCCATTGGATGGATTCTAATAAAAGGTATCACATAGATTGCATTCTTGGCTTTTTAGACCAATAGTGTAAACAGCTTGTCTTTCAATATATCCCTGCCTGAAAAGAGTTCTGCGCAGCTCAACAGCTTGTTCCCTTCCCAACATATCTGCCCCAGTATCCACTAAAACATTCAGGATACCATCTGCTTGACTGCCCTCCCCCACAAGCATTTATTCATCTGGGAATGCAATAGTCACTAGAAGTTGAAGCCATTCTGTGCTGCAGGTGTACTGATACGTCATGTTAGCAAGAGGTCCAGAATTGAGCTCAGACATTGGGCAACTTATGTAAGGGTTAATTCAGAAGTCACTAGTGACTATAAATAGGAATATAAATGAGTCAGCCTTACATTTATAAAAAAGTTGACCACTCCAAAGAGAATCATATACTCGTGACAAGATGCTTTTAGTGTGTTCATGCACACCCACACAGAAGAGGCAGAGGCACTCCCTCTAAATATTGGCAACAGCTACAGTTGGCCTCAGAGAATGCTTGCCTCTGCTCTGAAAATGTGATGAAAATTTTGAGTGGAAATATTTGTTACTTTGTGGCACAGTCTAGACAGTGATAGGCAAGTGTTAGGCAACATTTAATTCAGTAGGATTTTGGCGTCACTAACTTTCTCTGGATTGCACACCACGTTAACATTCAAAATACAGGAGAGAGAGCTTCTCCCATTTTTAAAAGATCGCTCAATAGCGATTTACTATATTTAGCAACCATTTGTGCTTAAACGTGAAGTTTCCAAATATATGATAGCAGATGGTATCTTACACAGCCGGTTTTGGTCTATTCAACAAGAAAAGGAAACCACCTGTTCCTTTCCAAGTATGCTTTCTCCTGGCAGAACTTAAGGAGTCATTCAGTAGAGAATTAACTTAATCAAAGTTCAAGCTCTGCTAATTGCCTGAAGAATGACAACCAATCATGAATGCCCCCCACCCCTACCCCACTCCTTTAAAAAGCTTTTTGCTATGCAAGGAGGATAGAGCAAACGACAAACCAAATTTGATCCATAGTATTTTTGCCTCCAAGGGAGATGGGCAGGTGGCTATAATTCACTGTATTCACACTGCCTAGCGAGCTCATGCATATGAATGCATGTTCCTAAGGCTCAAGGTACGGGCCCAACATTTGTACCACATATTAGATCTAAACAAGCAGGTGACCTGCATTGACTGGGGGGGGGG